AAAAAAAAAAAGCATAGGTCAGATTCGAAGCCCAGAGCGCAAAAGCTAATCGAGCATTCTTGACCGCTCAGCTATCGATGACAAACATTCTAACTGAGTCATTAGCCATACATGAACTGTTTAACCAGGTATGAGGGCTTTAATTAAAATTGGAAATTTTTATTCAAATTTTGTTGTTTTAATTGTGTTGTAATGGAAGATTATTGTTTTAGTGTGTATTGCTCGGAATTCCGCTTTGGCCTTCTATACTTAAAGAGGATATATTCTATATTCTCTGGTAATGTATAAGTTCTTTTTCATCAGAGCTTAGGTTACATATATCTGCTCTGTTCCCCCACGACCGCCACTCGTGGATACGACTATACCTATATATACGGAAGGGGGCCAACCAATCAGAGGCGTGTAAGAGAGAGAAAGGTTGTACTGCTATTTGTCTTTTGTCTCTCTCATCTCGTCTCGCGGTTGGAGCATACAATGCTTCCTTCATGTATATATTCTCTAAGGAAAACATAGACTCCCTACCCAATCTTATCTATAATTCTCATGTAAGATAATAGATGATGAATTGTAGATAACATGGATAGGAACACAATATCTTTATTTTTGGAGGTCGAGTTTCGGATACATGATGCATTCTAATCTTGCCGCAAATGGCACTTTCAGTTAACCACTTTTCATTTTCTATCCATTGGTGTAAGTTGCGGCTGGTTAATAAAAAGACCATACGGCAGTTCTATAATCACCACATAACTCTTCACCATTACAAAATACTATAGCAGCCCCCCGTCTCGGCTTCGCCCGAGACTTACTAAATAGAACACCGTAGTGTGTTGACATGTAATGTGAAACGTTTTCAGTTAGAAATTTTACATTTATTCCAGACACTTCTCAGAACAAAAATCTTCTTATTAAGAGCATAGTTGTTCGCAATCCATACAGTTTATTTGGTCAAATAATAACCTGTAAAAATTAAAAAAAAGGTAATTATGCTGAAAAGTGCGTTCCTTATGCCAAAAAATAATCGTTGGCCATAAGAAGCCGTTGATTTGCAGTTTCTCCCGTATAATTTATGAAAAGGGCTATTTTTCAAAGCTGTTAAGATTTTAAACTCCCAAAAAATATATATTAAAAAAACTTTTTTTTCTTATCTCACAACTTTATTACCAGAGCAACAAAGTTGTGGAGCTTAATCTCTACATTCTTTACTGCCACAAAAATTCAAAAATATTTTCTAATTATTTAAAAATTTGAATTTAGATCTTTGGAGATTTAAGAGATTGTGAGGGTAAAATGAAAAGCTGATCTCTCACATAATGGATTTTTTACTTAGCGATTTTAGCTGTTCCAATCTTGATAAATTTTCTGCGTCAGTATCTTGATGCCTCAAATTTTATTCATTAAATACATTTAAAGTTTTCTTTTCAATTTACCCTATTGCGACTATTGGCATGCTTACGACTTTTGTGACCCCTAAAGGCTATTTTTAGTCAACTTTGTGAAGTTTTAATATATTTGTTGTCAAGGTAGTTCGACGTCCGATTGCCCTAAAAAAGACCGGTGAGTTTTTGAAGTAAACTCTTTCTTGACTAAAGTTGACAGCAAATGTGACTGCCTGGATATCTCAGGGTGATCTTCTCTGGCCTGATGTTGAAGCCCCAGACTAATCGGGAGAAAAATTACAAAGTCCGAAGCTTTGGGGCTAGTTGTAGTGCTCTTAATTTCGTAACTTCTCTTGATATAACGTCGAAGACGTTAGTGTCTAAGGCACCTTTTTTTTTGTAGACTCAGTTGCTTTGATGATCTAAGGTGGAGAGATTAGTAGAGATTGGTTCGTGATGCTTGCCCGTTGGAGACTCCCGTTGGTTCAAATTTTTTTCTCTTCATAGCTGTTAGGTTCGCCCAGCGCAGACCTTGGAGAGGATCGGTGATTCCTGGTTACATGCTTAGAGTCGAGGGGGTGATATAGGGACGTCGGTCACCGGGGTACCCAGCCTTGCGACGAACAACTCTGCTCGTGACATCTGCCAGTAAATGACTGACTTGGTTTAATAGTGGCCGGCTTTACATAGTCTTTTATAGTTGACGAATCGTCTCCAGAAATCGAAGTAAAAATGTATTTGTTGGCAAGGTAATATAAACTTAGGTGGCCCTTAAAAGGACCGATGAGATTAATGGTTAAGTAGGGAACGTAAATTCTTACATTGGCCCTCAAAAGGGCCAGTGGTAAAATTTCCAATCACTCCTAATTATTATTCTTGATGATGGAGAGCCAGCTGCGGGTAGCTTGATTCTTACCCTTGAAGTCTCTGATGTGGACGGTGATCGTACATGAGGGGACGTACGCCACTGATCAATAATTATCTCGTCCCGTTTTTCCTCCGATCATCAACCACTTACCGTTAGTCGGGAAAATGTGGACGCTCGTCGGGGACACGACCACTGAGGAGGAGGCCGTTATATGGCTGCGCATGCCTCTCAGGGCTGCTTTCCCTGGCTTACATTTGGAGAATAATATTTTACGACTGCACCAGGCCAGATTGTGGTACAGCAATAGACTGTGAAGAGTCGGGACAGGATGTGGTCTAGCTAGGCACGTCTCCGGGTACTCAACTGGAGATACGCCAGCGGTTGGAATTAATTTTATATTACTGGCACTCGTCAATCCAGAAGGTTTAAGGTGATAGCAGACCTAGATCACTTTTATCTGGTGGAGGAGAGCGTCATCGGTAACCAGGGAGCCCAGCTGCACGACGATCATCTACATTCTCGAAACAGCTCGACGAACTGCTGGTTGATGAATGCAGGTATCTCTGCGATGCTCCGGCCTATTATAACCATACTTATTCAATTCTGTTGCAGGTAGCTTCGATTTTATCTCGACGCCACCTAGCAGATTTTACTGAACTAAAGTGAAAAGCTGGCGTACTTTTGAAAAACTTTGAGCTTATTCATTGCTAGTATTATATTTTTCAAGATAAAAACCGTACTAAAACCATCTAGGAAGTGTTAAAAGTCGGTATGCAAAATTTCAGCAAAATCGGTTCTGTAGTTTTCGCGGTTAGCGATTGCAACGGTTTTAGCGACTTTGATTTATATATTAGTAAGATAAGATGATCGAAATACTTTGATTCTGGTAAGAGTGGCGGCAGGTGAAAATTTTGACCACCCTTCGACCTCAGCTACTTTGAGACTTTGAAAACGATTGGTCGTCATCCTTATTATTATGGGATATGTGTAAATGGCCTATGAATCGGCTTGAGGTGGCAGTCCCATGGCTGCCGTGTCCAGGAGTTGAGGAAGGAGGTAAAGTAATTAAACGCTTGTTAACATTAACAAGAAAAGGTTTAATTACTTCACCTCCTTCCTCAACTCCTGGACACGGCAGCCATGGGACTGCCACCTCAAGCAGATTCATAGGTCACATACACATATCCCATATTGGTGACCCCGACTATCTCGAGGAAGACGAAAGGTATTATTACACTTCTTGGAAGATGTAAGCAGCAATTTTGTGCAGTGGCAGCAGCAAGTTTGTGTTGTAGTAGCCATTATTGTTGCCTATCGAGAGCCAGCCTTCCTGGGACTCCCGCTGACACCTCGTCGATGATTCTCTCGAAATACATCGTCTCGGCCTCTCGACGCCAAAATCACCGAGCCATTCGAGCCCTTCTGGACTCTTCCAGTATAGTGATCTTGACCGTGCAGCATTCTTGCGTGTTTACGCCGGCCAACGGCATTGCCCAGCAACAGCCCATCATCGATGCAGCTCATCATACCAGTTCCAGCTTGCAGTGGCCCTCAGCTCATCGTCTTGCCGCAGCAGGGTCGGGTGTCGGTATCAGGTCCCCACATTATGAAATCGAGCTACCGGCTCCATTCACCAGGTAGCCAACCCTTAAATATCGCTTTTCTACAAGCATGTGAAAATCAATTCGTAGTACTATCCTTTTCTCATCACGACTAATCGTTCTCAAAGTGCCCAGTGGGGGCGCGATTTCGGAATTGCGCTCAAAGCGAATAAGAAATATAAAATAATATAGACTGCTCGAGCTCGTTCTTATGTACAGCATAACGGCGCTGAAGCACAAGCAGAAGGAGACACTCATCATTGAACGTGGGTGAAACAGATACCGTCAGGGATGGGTTTTCTACAAAATTTTTAGTATTCTACTGTAGATTTGGAAAAACTATCAACAACGTAGAAAACTGTAGAAAATGTAGTTAACTGAATTGAAATATTTTGTAAACCTCAAAACGATATATAAATAAATATAAAAGCTTCTCTTTTGAACTGTGTACATGCTTATAAGTTTATCAACTGTACATTGTTGAGATACAGAGGAAAATTACAGTTGCATAGAAAACACCCCTCTGTTAAAAAAAAAAAAAAAAAAAAAAATGTTATTCAGACGCAAAAAAGGGTCTTATCTATCTTGATGTTGAACACTGTTACCCCTATTCGATTAGACAATAATCATAAATTATGAATAATACTTTTATGCATCTCGTATGCGCTACAGATTAGCGTTTGTGGTAAACATATAAATATTATAGTATAAGTTGACGATACACATATCATCCAGAAGAACTTCATTTTATGCATCTTTCTACATTGTATTTCGCAAAAAGTAAATGTTTATACGTGAAAGCGCAGGACATGAATCGTATACAAAACTTTTACAATTAAAATCTGTTAACATGCCACAATAAATAATAAATAAATGTGACGTAAAAAATAAAAGTTTTTTTTTAAGATGTTTAAATTACATACTAATGTCTGCTCAAAAAAGTTTATGAATATGAAAAATGCCATGAATCTATACATCTAAGCTATCGATTCTTCCATTACTCATCCTGAGACTATTTGTTTTTTTTTTTTTCTAGTCGATCAGACGCATGTTGCAGCCATTTTTGAACATGCATTTGACACTTTTTAACGGTAAATAGTGGGTCAGTTTTAACTATTGTACCTGAAATAAATTGATAACAAACATATACTTTCATAAGCTATATTTTTACTTATCAAATTTTAAAAAAGTAATATTATAATACCTATCAAGAGATCGCATATTTTTTTTTATAAAAAAACTTTCTTCGTATTTTTCTGGCCAGACCACGAATAGCAGTTAGCTACCTCATCCTTCATAAGTAGTAGCTCTGAGGGCGCATCTGATACAATTACCATCGTCGTTTCCACCAATAGCTCTTATCATGGTTGACTAAAAATTGATATATTTAGTAAGTAAAAATAAGATAGTACATTTGCCGTTCAACAGCTCACTATTTAGATTTTTGTTGAGCTCGATCCTTCTGAACAGTAACACAAAACAATACACCAAAAACTATTAACCAGATGTCACTATCTTGTGAAAGTATATAATTTATTACTTATTTAAAACAAAAACTTTAATTCTCAGTAAATGTACATTGACAATTAAATTTGTAATAATACATCGCTAATATAAAAATGTTTTCTACGAACATAGAATCAATGTGCTCAACAAAACACAGTCGTATCTACAAGCAACAAAATATCAACAAGGGAGAAGAAGTCTAGCAAAAGGAGGATAATTAAAGAAGACAAGACTGAGAATCATGAGTCAAAACAAGAAAAAAGATCAAGGAAACCCAAAAAAATAACGATTACCAGTATTATTAGATGTAGTTAGTTCAATTTGTTTTTACTATTAATTAACTGTTAATATGCATTAACTAGTAGGGATGAAAAACAAGTGATGATTACTAGTATTATTAGATGTAGTTAGTTCAATTTGTTTTTACTATGAATTAACTGTTAGTATGCATTAACTAGTGGGGCATTTTGCTACAAATGAACTAGTATACGTATACCAATACAAAAAAGTCAATTTTTTAATAGTTACAAGATTTCATGTAATGAGAATCAAAAATGACTATTATTTATCAGATATTCATCGCTTCATACATGTGTTATCTCTGTTTAACCCTTATTTAAAATAAATGTTATTTTTTTGTTTCCCATTTTTTCATCAACCATCGATTTTTAGTGCTTTCACAGAAATTTACGATCAAACGAACTTACCTGTAAGTGATGTTCGATCCTAATTATACGAAGAAGCCTCGTTCGAAGATATTACATTCCCACCCTGAAAATAAAAAACCCACCACAACACTGGCATTTCTACGGAAGCCCGTATGGGTCCGCTCGCACCAGGTTGTGCGTGCGCACAAATTTTGCTTGCTCTCGGCTGTGGGTGCACCTTTATAATGCTCTTTCTAAGTCGCTAGTACGGTACTGCCGTGGCGCTAGCTTGCTTCGGGAGCCAGCTAAATCTTTGTTCATTAAAATACGCAAGCCCGTATGGGTCCGCTCGCACCAGGTTGCGCGTGCGCACAAATTTTGCTTTCTCTCAGCTGCGGGTGCACCTTTATAATGCTCTTTCTTAGTTGTTAGTGCGGTACTGCAGTGGCGCTAGCTTGCTTCGGGAGGTCTGTGTGAAACTTCTCTTTTCCACGGCTCTGGCGCTGAGTTGGCGCGTTTTCTCTAACCTAAAACCTCTCGTTGTAGGCTCGCTTTGAAAACAATGGCATTTATAAACGTTTCTGGACCAGGTTTAACGGTTAAAATACCGTGCCAAAATAATTTGGTTAGTATAAGAAACGTCCAATCTTATTCTAAAGACGCCACTGCTCTTTTGTATTCCTTAAATAACGAAAAAGTCGGCGTAGAAATCATAAACGAATGCTTCAAGGTCGATCCTAACGTCGAGTACGAAGTTTATGCTCCTCAAAAGAAAAGTAAGATTTTAATACTTTTTAAGTCACTTTTATCTTAAGGTTTTAATTGTAAATCTCGATTATTGTAGATGTCATGGTTGGAGAAAAAGAAAATCAGCGTATTTCAGAAATCATGAAAATAATTAATGATTAAGAGAAGGAGATCGTTAACGATGAAGAAATGAAATATTTGCCCAAAAATCAAAACAATCAACGAGGTCCATTACCATAGGATGGAAGCATAAGCACACCGATAATGGTAAATACGTTTTAATGAACAAAGATTTAGCTGGCTCCCGAAGCAAGCTAGCGCCACGGCAGTACCGTACTAGCGACTTAGAAAGAGCATTATAAAGGTGCACCCGCAGCCGAAAGCAAGCAAAATTTGTGCGCACGCACAACCTGGTGCGAGCGGACCCATACGGGCTTCCGTAAATATTGTATAACCCTTCCCCCTCGCTTGATGCCACGATATTTTAGAGCTGAAAGTGCTGAAACTCTGAAAGCAAATCCCCGCGATATGCGCGCGCTCGCCTCTGGCCTCTGGAGCCGTACCAGTGTACCACATACCTAACTCTTTCCGCTTCGCAAAGCGAAGAAAAGTTATATGGTACGGACCCCGACGAGCCTCGGCCCCTGTGCTCGGTCGGTTCGCGCGCGCCACCGCTTGCGTCATTGTTTAACCGAGTGTACTTGTGCGGAACGGAAATGCCAGTGTTGTGGTGGGTTTTTTATATTCAGGGTGGGAATGTAATATCTTCGAACGAGGCTTCTTCGTGTAATTAGGATCGAACATCACTTACAGGTAAGTTCGTTTGATCGTAAATTATATACTTCATCACCTCGTTCTCGATATTACATGTTGTAGCTGTTCAGAGCTTGGCAATTTCCGCACAAATGTCTTCGTATCGTCTTATTCAGTTCTGGTGAAATAAATATACTTGGGTGTATGTTTTAAAATAGTTTTATTTTTATATTGATCCATGATTGCTCTATAGTGGTGCTTACAAGCGTTAATATTTATATGTATTTTAGGAACTCTTTAGTGTTCACAGTCTAAAGGAGCTAGTACTTTTAATTAAAGCTTAAGGTTTTGTACCTTTGAATATCTTATATCTGCTATAGTGTATCTATCGTCTAGAACTGGCCGATGGTATCCCAGCAAAAAATAACTCATAAGTTCTTACATAAGTTCTTATGTCAGTTCTTATCTAAGTTCTTATGTAAGTTCTTATCTAAGTTCTTATGTAATTTCTTACATAAGAACTTATACTCGATTATCGACCAAGAACTTATCTAAGTTCTTATGTAAGTTCTTATCTAAGTACTTATGTAGGTTCTTATCTAAGTTCTTATGTAAGTTCTTATCTCAATTCTTGTGTGATTTCGTATAAATGACTGTACAAAAAGTTTTATTATAATTTTTATTTTTGTTGTATAATTATTGTCAAAAAAAACAATATTTACAGGTCTCTTAATGCACAACTTTTTATTGTTAAGATTTTTTAAATTTGATTCATCAAATACATTATTCTTAGTGATGGAATAATTTATCATAATATACTAGTGGGAAAAAGTCACTTTAACACAACACTAACTATAAAATTTCGTAATGCTAAATTTTTTGTTAATTATTGGTAAATATAAGATATATTTTTTTTCATCTGACGTGAAAAAGAACGTAGGTAAAAATCATTTAAAGTGTTGGAAATAACTCTAGTTTATAAAGTGAGAAATAGGAACATACGCTAAACAGTGAGCTATAAAAATTCACAGACTTTGAAAAATTAGGAATCTTAAAGCATGGAGGAGTTGAATAAAAAAAATCAATAAAACTTTTTTAACTGATTATCTGGGTAAGTAAAAAAAAAAAACAATATATGCTTGTTACTACAATTAATAATACAACAGATTAGTTACAGGACATATGTACTGCCTGCCATCTACATTTATCGAAATACACACAGATTCAATATCATCTGTATCTATAAGCATAAGAGACTCTTTTATATGAAGAACCTGTTGAAGTACCTGATAATTTGAGCTTAAATCGTGGTTACGCGTAGCTATTGTATTACACACTAATTTTTGAACATAATTCTTCTCTGCATCATCAAAACCAACAATTAACTTAATCAATCGGACGTACGTTCCATCTTTTAATCGAGCGTAAGAATTATCAGATCTTGAATTTACTTTAAAGCTTGTTGCATATAAACATCCATTTTTAATCATGCGCAAATAAGCTTTGCTATTTTTAGGCACATATCGTCCTAGAATATCTGCTTCAACATCAACAGCTTTACCAAAATATATAACATTCATCACTTTAAGGCATTTTTTGACTCTTAATTTATTTAAATTGTCTAAATATACTTTTACGATCTGAGGAGCTGTTGGTAAAACTTTTTTTTCTAGGATAAATATACTTCAATTTAAATTGACATGTCTGAGAATCTGTAAGATTACACCTTTGCCACACTTTATTGCTTGCAACAAGTCGTGATTTGCTGCTTCGAAAGAAAATGTGGAGTGTGCCCACAAAGGTCCCCAGTCCAATACGCTTCTGCATAGGTGTAACAACAAGTGCACATTATACGTCATTGCCCTTTCTGTAAAATACTTCTGAGTCAATAAAACAAATAACCTCAATTTTTTCTCTGCCATTTTTAATTGAACTACAGAAATATTGGTCCCCAAAAGAATATATAATGCTTCAACAAACAGTGTCCAGTACTCAATATATTTTTTATGAAGTTTTAATGCCATTATAGGTGTGCTTTGATACAGAATCCAATTCTCCCATTCTTTGCATTTCCAGTAATTACTATCGGATAAAGGTCTAGTGTTACGAGATATTTGATTCGGAGATTTAATGTTCTGTAGTAATGATTGATAGCGCTCCGTGTCTTTATCATCAATCAAGTAATTTGTAATTTGTTTGCCGACTCCGCATAAGCAAGCATGCATATAATCAACTACAAATCCAGAAATAATGTCGAACGATTTTAAATTTACTAACGGCGAGATTGATTTTATGCCAAGTTGTGGTTGGTACTCCTCATCCATAACGGATTGATACATGTAATGTAGTGTTTCATCGACATTTCTTTCACGTGGCTCTTCAACATCAATAGGATACTTTATGGTAGTGCCATCATGTACTCCAGGGTGCAGACAAAAATTACAACCGTAGTGGCCATTAAATTGCTTCATTCCCTGAACAGGTGCTCTAGCAACGCTATCTACGCAACAAATTAACACGTATAACCTAATATTTCGAACTTCACCTTCTATAGAACATTGAATTCCTTGCTCAGTCACCTTATTAATTTCATCTACTAAACTATCAAGAAAAACAGACATATTAGGTTTTTTTCGATTGAAGTACAACCCACATGGAATGATACATCTTGTCCTGTCTTCGAATGGAACTTCATTTAGCTGTAAATAAATTGGCCACACTGAGTACTTTGAAGATTGAAAGGGTGCGGCACCGTCAGTATTCAAAATAGCTGTGACATAGTTGGTTTTTTCATTAGCTGGTAGCGTATTGACAAATTCTTTATATTTTTTGCCATCATAAACGTCTCTGA